ATCAAAATACCAACACAATTCTTTACAGACCTTGAAAGAACAATTCTCAATTTCATACAGAAAAACAAACAAAAAAAATACAGACTTGCTAAAATAATACTGAACAATAAGAGATCCTTTGGAGGTATCTCCATCTCTGATCTCAAGCTGTACTATAGAGCAAGAGTAATAAAACCTTCAGGGTACTGTCACAGAAACATAATGGCTGATTATTGGAATCTAACAATGACCCAGAAATAAACTCACACACATACGGATACTTGATTTTGACAAAGAAGCCAAAACCATAAAATGGGGGAGGGGGACAAAATCTTCAACAAATGGTGCTGGTTTAACTGGATGTTTACAGGTAGAAAAATTCAAATAAATCCATATTTATCACCCTGCAAAAAATTAAAGTCCAAGTGGATCAAAGACCTCAACATAAAGCCATCATTCTAAATCTGTTAAAAGAAAAACAGGGAAGGAGCAATGAACTCATTGGCACAGGAGACAACTTCCTGAGCAGAACACTGACAGCACAAGCTCTAAGTTCAGCAATCAATAAATGGGATCCCATGAAACTGAAAATCTTCTGTAAAGCAAAGGACACTGTCATCAGAACAAAACGACAGCCTACAGACTGGGAAAGGATCTTCACCAAACCTATATCTGACAGAAGTCCACTATCCAGAATTTATAAAGAAATCAAGAAGTAAAAAAGCAACAAATCAAGTAATCCAATTTAAAAACTGGGGTACAGAGCTAAACAGAGACTCCACAAGAGAGGAATATTGGACTGCAGAGAAATACTTGAAGAAATGCTCAATATTCTAGTCATCAAGGAAATACAAATCAAAACTACCCTGAGATTGCACCTTATACCTATAGGAATGGCTAAGATCAAAAATTCAAGTGACAGTACAGGCTAGAGAGGATGTGCAGAAAGAGGAACCCTCCTCCATTGCTGGTGGGAAAGTAAGTTCTACAACCACTTTGGAAATCAATCTGGTACTTTCTCAGACAATTAAAAATAGTGCTATCTCAAGATCCAGCTAAACCACTTATACACATTTATCCAAATTATGCTCAAGCATACAACAAGGACATTTGCTCAACCATGTTTGTAGCAGGTTTATTCATAATAGCCAAAATCTGAAAATAACCCAGATGTCCTTCAAAGGAGGAATTATATACAGAAATTGTTGTACATTTACACAAAGGAATATTACTCAGCAATTAAAAACATGGGAATCATGACATTTTCAGGGAAATGGGGGAGCTAGGAAAGATCCCAGAAGGTATCCCAGAAGCAGAAAGACACACAGGGTATATACTCACTTAAAAGTGGATATTAGTCATATAATATAGGATAATCATACCAAAATCTGTATAAATGAAGAAGCTAAGCAAGAGGGAAGACCCTGGTTAAGATGATAAATCCTTACTCAGAAAGAAAATGAGACAGACATCAGAAGAGAGAGAAAACAGGGTATAGGACAGGCGCTCACCACAGAAAGCCTCTGAATGACTCTACCTCCTGCAGGATATAAAGCAGATGCTGAGACTTATAGCCACACTTTGGGCAGAGTGCAAAGAATCTTATGAAAGAAAAAGGAGAGAGAAAGGCTTGGAATGCACAGGAGCTCCACCAGGAGAGCAACAGAACCAAAAAATCTGGGCACAGAATTATCAACAGAGGAATACCGAATTGGAGAGAAACAAAGAAATGTTCAATGTCCCTATTCATTTGGGAAGTGTAAATCAAAACCAGTCTGAGATTTCACCTCACATCCTTTAGAATTGCAAAGTTCCAAAACTCAATGGATGATGCATGGTGGAGAGGATGTGGAGATATAGGAACTCTCTTCCATTGCTGGTGGGAATGTAAACTTGTACAACCACTTTGCAAATCAATCTTGTGCTTTCTCAGACAATTAGGAATAATGCAACCTCAAGATCCAGGTATACCACTCCTAGGCATATACCCAAAATATGCATGATCTTTCAATAAGGACATTTGCTCAACTATGTTCATAGCAGCTTCATTTGTAACAGCCAGAATCTGGAAACAACATAGATGTCCCTCAATGGAGGAATGGATACAGAAAGTGTGGTATATTTACACAGTGGAATACTACTCAGCAATTAAAAACAAGGAAATCATGAAATTTGCAGGTGAATGGTGGGAACTAGGAAAGATCATCGTGAGTGAAGATACACAGAAGCAGAAAATTACACATGTCATATACATTCACTTATAATGGGATATTAGCCATACAATATAGGATAAATATACTAAAATCTATAGTCCTAAAGAAGTTAAATAGCAAGGAGGATCCTACACAAGATGCTTAATCCTTAATCAGAAGGGCAAACAGGACACATATCTGAAGTAGGAGAAAACAAGGAACAAGACAGTGGTGTTCCTCTTTCAGAGGACCTCTGAAGGACTCTAACCACCAGGGTATCAAAACAGTTACTTATACTCATAGCAAAACTTTGGGCAGAGTGCTGAAATCTTTATGGATTAAGAGGGAGATAAAATGACATGAAGGGGACAGGAACTCCACAAGGAGAAAAACGAAGTCAAAATAGTAGACCCAGGTAGTCCCGCAGATATGAATACTCCAACTAAGGACCATGCATGGAGAGGACCTAAAACCCTTGTTCAAAGAAAGCCCATTGGTAGCTCAGTTTCCAAGTGGGTTCCCTAGTAAGGAGTAGAGGGGCGCCTCTGACACTAACTCAGTGGAAGGGGGGTTCTTTGATCACCTCCTGCTGGGACTTTCAGCCATGCCAGGCCACAGAGGAAGATGATGCAGCCAGCCTTGATGCAACCTGATGAGCCTGGGTCAGATAGAAGGGGAGGAGGACCTCCCCTATTAGTGGACTAGAGGAAGGGCATAGTGGGAGAAGAGGGAAAGAGGGTGGCAGAGTGGCATTGGGAGGAGACAGGGATGGGGCCACAGCCAGGATACAAAATGTATACATTGTAGTAAATAATAAATACAAAATTTTAAAAGTGAAACATTTTACTTTTCCAAAGGATATTTTCATATATACATAAGATCTATATACATATCTACAAAAGATCTGCTTTTTGATCTATACACCCAGCTTTTTAAAGACAAAACTGACAAAGTTTATACCAGATTACAATAAGCAGCATATTTTCACATATATAATTGTATTGTGGTAGGATTAAAAACATCTAATCGCAATTTCTGTCACCTCGTTGTATACTTTGGCATGTTTGGAAAAATGCCTAGGAGTGGTATACCTGGATCTTGAGGAATCACTATTTCTAACTGTCTGAAAAAGCTCCAGATTGATTTCCAAAGTGGTTGTACAAATTTACATTCCCACCAGCAATTGAGGAGGGTTCCCCTTTCTCCACAACCTGTCCAGCATGTATTGTCACTTGAGTTTTTGATCTTAGCCATTCTGATGGTTAAGGTAAAATCTCAGGGTAGTTTTGATTTGCATTTCCCTGATGACTAAGAACACTGAACATTTCTTCGATTTTCTGCCATTCTATATTCTTCTATTGAGAATTTTCTGTTTAGCTCTGTACCCCATTTTTAATTGGGTTACTTGATTTGTTGCTTTTTTTTAAATTCCTTGTGTCCTTCACATATTCCGGATATTAGCCCTGTGTCAGATATAGGGTAAGTGAAGATCCTTTCCCAATCTGTAGTCTGTCGTTTTGTTCTGATGACAGTGTCTTTTGCTTTACAGAAGCTTTTCAGTTTCACGAGGTCCCATTTATTGATTGTTGATCTTAGAGCAAATGCTGTTGCTGTTTTGATATGCTAAGGTTAGAGGAAATGAGAGGAGGACCTCTCCTATTAGTGGGCTTAGAGAGGGACATGGTAGGAGATGAAGAAGTTAAGGTAGGGTAGGGAGGGAATAAAGAAGGTTGCTATAGCTGGGATACAAAAATAATAAACTGTAATCAAGAAAAAATACATTAATTAAAAAAATTCTGTCACTTCACACAGGACATACATTTGTATCACTACCGATTTTCAATTACATAAAACTTTGTTATTAAATGTAGTCACAGTGCTAAACTCTTACAGTAGCTTTCTAGAACTTACACTAAATTAAGCTTTGTATCCTGTGACCAACATCCTTGTTTTGTCCTCTATCTCATACAAATCCTGGTAACAACTAGTTTATTTTTTTGCTTTTATAGTTCAAGTGCTTCTTTTAATTCCAGATAAAAACAAGGTAATGTGGAATTCATACTGGTCTGCTTGATTTATTTCAGTGTCCTTCATATGGATTCATTTAGCAGCAAATATCAAAATATCTATTTAAACTTTTATTATACTATATTTTATCAATATATCACATTTTTTCATTACATATTTTATCCTATGGTAGCATGTTTTACCTATATCTACATTGTGAAATAGTAAATAGTGGTAATTAACATATGGGATAGCTAGTGTACTTTTCAGCTGTCAGTAAAAAAAAAATTAAAATATCTACTCTCGGCAATATTCATGTATGCATTATCTTTTTAATTATAGCTACCATGTTGTACAGTCGATCTTGATGATAACTATAAGTCTAAAACAGGATTGGGGTTGCTGCTAAAGCAATCTTTCATGGTTTAAATCTAGGACTATAATCAGTTGCCCTGTCACCTGAGCACAGACCTATCATCTAAAATTAATCCTCATGTGTCTTTAGTTCTAGTAGGGTTTCACAACTTAGGAACTGAGGCAAAAGCTCTCACAATGACACATCTATCCAAGAACAGGTGCATAATTCCTGTTGTGTGGTAAAATGAACCGTGGTCTTTCAATTCTACCATCTTAATGAAATCTGCTTTTGAGAATGGGTGAGAATATAATTTAAAATTGGTGGATAGAGATGTGAGTAGAATCTGGATTGAGTGGGTATTGGGTAGTGGATTGAGTGGGTAGTGATCAAATATATTGTATAAAAAAATAAAAGAAAATCAGCACACATACACATACATGTGGTAGAATTATGCATAACCTTACCAACAATTACTTGATGAATTTGCTTTGGTGTCAAAACTTTGCTGCAGTCATGTTTTTCACGGTGAATGGTTGGCTTTGATTTAAGTCTTCTAGTGATCTGTTTTTCCAAATTAATCATTCCATATTAGTAAAAGTCATTTTTAGAATTCTCATGACATAACAACAAAATTGAAAATAAAATGCACATACCGTTCTCTCCAGACATTCTGTCTCCCTGCATTCCATTTTCTTGGTGCTTAGCAATCTCTTAGCTCTGAGAGAAGAAGCTTTTAAAGATGAAGGTATCTCCTCTTTTGTTACTGATTGAGATGGTGATGGTGACCTTAAACTAGATGATGGCTGCATGTCTATATATTCTTTGTTAAGGGGAAATTTGAGTTCCCTATAAAAATAAATATAATATTGATGTTCTTGTTCTTGATGATGATGATAATGATAATGATGAGTAACTGAGGAAAACTTGTTCATAAAATACAGTAGTAAGTGCAAATATCCTCTGTGAGGAACACTGTTCTAGACTTATCCGTATCTATTTAACTGAATTGGAATATTAATCTGCAGGATGTTTTCCTCCAGTAAGTAGCCTCTACTCTTCGTAAACACCTCATAGAGGAAGTTATAGCTACCCCTATTCCTTTGTCACACTCAAAAGACAGACTATAATCACTGAGAGATTTGGATCAAAGTGAAAGTCTCTTTAGTTCAAGATAGAAATAATGATTTATGTCATTTATGCTCAAAAATCTTGGCATTGGGTTGTGGCAGTCTATTTGGAGTTATTGACAAATTGGCGTGTGCATCTCCAAAAGGAAATCGGGCCTCTTGGTCCTGATTCCTATCTAAAGCTTGGAGGCTAAGACTTTGACCTTGGCAGCAGAGGGATCCAGCCCTGAGAACTAGACCATAAATTCCATGTAACCATGGTAACCAGACAGTAGGTTCTATGTAACTTTAAGTAAGCCCTCTTATGTTTTGGCTAAGTAAAATTGCCTGTGTGAGAAACTGCTTGTACTTTTTTGCCTACTTCAGTGTTAACCTGACGTCCATTAAATCAACACTTTGATCAGCATGTAGACTTGGTGTCCTTCTCTGTGTCACTCTGTCTCTCTTTCCCCACCCCTCTCTCAGGTGGTATTCAGGTGTCACTGCTGGCCGGTGATATTGGGTTGAGTACAAAATTTATTTGAAATACATCAATTCTTCTCCAGATGTATGTACTCTGATGCCTATGTCCTCCAAATCTTTTTCTTGGGAATATGCTTTTAGTGAATCCTTGCCTTGGATCTGCCACTTACCTAAGACAACTCCCAACAAAAAGTTAGCAAAAGTTACTGCACCTAAAGTAACTATATGTTTTGCTTTTAACATGTTGAAATGCTACTAAAACTCAAAATTAAAACAAATACAAGGCATAAAGAAATCTGATATTAACAAGATTAAAATTTGTATCATAATAGTCTATACAATAAAATAAACATCATAAGATAAACATTGGATATAAACTTAAGACAAAAACAGATACTTAGATTTCCTTTTTGATAAATAATACTCAAAACACAAATCAGACTTTATTAAGCAAAGAAGCTTCTGGAAAGCAAAGGAATGAATAAAAAGTAGAAACAATCTGCAATGGGTAAAATATGCAAATTATTCATTTGAAAATAGATTTATGCAGAATGCACACATAACTAAAAATTTCAATAACAGTCTCTCAATAAGCAAACTAAACTGTAAACAACTTAAATGAATAGATATTTCTTAAAGAAAGACCACAAAATTTACTTTAGACTAATCAGTGTCTTCAGGCAATAGGAAAACAAAAAATCAAAATATCACTGAGATTATCACTTCAAGTCATTAAAATAGCTATTATTAAAATGAAAAACTACAACAAATGCTAAAAAGATGTGGAGAAATGCACATCTTTTTATTAAAAAACATTATTACAGGTAACATACAACCACTAGGATGGAGGAAATCAAATTTAGAAAAACAAGGTAATGACAAGGAAATTAAACAAGCATTTGTTACACTGATTTGATCCAAATTCATTGTATACATGTTCCATTATACTTCATAAATATATTCAATTATTGCATTGATCAAAAGTTATAAAACTGTTTATGATGACAATGACAAATACCCTGATTTGATCATTATATTTAATCATTATGCTGTACTCCACAAATTTACATAACTCAAATAATCAATTTAAGAAGAAAACCAAATCTTACCTTTAGGCACATTATTTGAGGAACTATCTTACCTCTTTGCTTCTTTCTTTAGGCGTGCATTTCTTAAATTTCGAATATAGTCTGCATAGTAATCTTGATGTATTTTTCTTTCCAGTTTTTCCAAATCAGTGTATTCAAAATCAGGATCCACATAATCATACCTTGGCATCTTTGTGAAAATCGTCCTACAAGATAAAAAAAAGATGTCATGCTACACATACTATTGTTAGATTATTTACCTTCTATGTGCACTCCTTCTTCCAAAAATAAGAATCATAAAAAAGCCCTGTGGCTCTTTGAGAAAGATTACTACTAAGGGATCTTTTTTTTAAATTTTAATTTTAATTTTTTTTACATTTTTTATTTTTTATATTAATTACAGGTTATTTACTTTGTATCCCAGCTGTAGCACCTCCCTCATTCCCTCCCAATTCCACCCTTCCTCCCTCATCTCCTCCTATGCCTGTCTCAAATCGACAGATGGGGGAGGTCCTCCTCCCCTTCCATCTTATCCTAGATCATCTGAACTGGCTACATTGTCCTCCTCTGTGATCTGGCAAGGTTGCTCCCCCATCCAGGGGAGGTGGTCAAAGAGCTAGCGACTGAATTCATGACAGAGACAGTTCCTGTTCCCCTTACGTAGGGTATTGGCTAGGATACCCACTTGGATACTGAACTGCCATAGGCTACATCTCACCTTTTTCATTTAGTTGCAAAATAGGGTTGTTTTGTTGCTGTTTTTGTTGTTTTTGTTTGTTTTTTTTTATTTTCTATTATTATTTTTATTATTATTATTACAATGTATTCACTCTGTATCCTAGTTGTAACCCCTTTCTTAATCTTCTTCTGGTCCAACCCTCCTTCTGTCTTTCACCACATCACCCTCCCCTAAGAGGAACAGGGAGATACTAGGATGGGTCAGGAGCTACACAAGGAGACCAACAAAGCCAAAAATATGGGCCCAGGTGGGACTGCAGAGACTGATGCATCAAACAAGGACCATGCATGGAGAGGACCTAGAACCCTTGCTCAGATGTAGCCCATAAGCAGTTCAGTCTCCACATGGATACCTAGTAAGGGGAGCAAAGGCAGTCTCTGACATGAGCTCAGTTGCCTGTTATTTGATCACATGTCCCTGTGGGAACCACCTAACCAGCCCACAGAGGAAGAGGGTCCAGGCAGTCCTGATGAGACTTGATAGACTAGAGTTAGACAGTAGGAGAGGAGGGCTTCCCTTATCAGTGGACTAGGCAAAATAGGTTTATGGTGATACTGAAGTGCTTTCCCCAATGCCAAGGCTGAGGTTAGGCCAGCAAAACTAACAAGATATGAAACTTTTCTAAACCCTGAAACATCTCTGAAAGGGAAAAATATTATTTCCTCTGTGGAACTGATGTGTCTGTCTATCCTATTAAGAAACTGTCTCAGCATACAAGTAGCTGCCTCTTCTAACACTTTCTCATTCCTAGTCCAGATCCTTCCTGCCAATGGTCACCAAGCTCTCTCTTCTAAAAAATATAATTCCAAAGGGTAATTTCCTCTTGGCCACTTTTCAGGAACCACGGGAAGAGAAATTTTGTTGTGGTTGTTGTTCTAATAATGAGTTCCTTAAACTTTAGAGTTTATGAAATATCCATCAATAATAAGTTGATAGAAAAAATTCATGAGATCTTTATTACTTTTTATGACATTCACTCAACTGGCATGTTATTCCTCCTTTTTAACAGTAACAAATTTCCAGTAAACTACAGGGCGATTATTCATAGCTTCTGACCTTCATCTATCTCTATCATCCACAAATTTTATCAAATATTGAAAGATTTTCTCAATAATGAATTTATATATGTATATAAGAAAATTTACATATATACATATGTATATAAGAAAAATTAATCATATATTAATTTAGAAATCTCCATGTTTCCCATAATTCTTCATTGTTACATGATGACAAATTTAAATGTGGTAAAAGTTTTACAGAGTGATATTAAAGGAAGGGAAATGTTCAGTTATTCAAAAACAGTTCTCTTTATAGCTAAAGTTCCCTACTGGCTATTGGACTCAACTTTTCAAGGACAGAAATAAATACAGCTATTAAATAATTGCAAAATTCTAAGTTTATTTTTAATTGAGTTAATGTTTATGATATAATTGATAGATTTATAATCAAATTTTTAAAATTAACTAAAACATTATAACTCTGTATAAGCATATGGGTTTTGAGTTGAAATTTTTCCAAAAGCCATATAGTCAGGGTATTGCAGGGTATGTTATGAGCCAAAAGAAAACGTAAAACTAACTTTTCATGATATATAATTATTTTAAATGTCAGAATTGTTTTTATAGTTCTGTTTTTATTGTACTAGTCAAATACTGAGGAAAGCGATATGTGAGTGAAATTTGTAGGAAAAGCAAAACATTAGACCAAGCTCGGGGATTCTTGTAGAAGAATTGGGGGAAGGATACAAGGACCCAGAAGGGACAAGAACTTCACAAGAACAACATAGTCAACTAACCTAGGCCCATGGAGGCTTACAGAGAGTGAAGCACCAACCAACTACCATGTGTGAATTGTACCAAGGCCTGCTACATATATGTAGCTGATGGGCAGTTTGGCTTTCATGTGGGTCCCCTAGCAAGTGGAGTGGGGCGTTCTCTGACATGGGCTCTGTTCCCATTTACAGACCACCTGCCCCTAGCTGGGCTGCCTTTTCTAGCCTCAGTGGAAGAAGATGCCCTTATTCCTGATGTAACTGTAAGTGCCAGAGGTGTTGATATGAAAGAGGTCCCCTTTTCTGATGAGAAAGGGAGGGAGAAAAGAGGGAAGAGAGCGGGAGGGTGGGACTGGGAGGAGAGAAAGGAAGGGGCTGCAACCGTGATGTAAAGTGAACAAATAGTAAAAATATTTTTAAAGTTTTAGTGATTTTTATGACCCCCCCCCAACATAAACAGATGAGTAGAAAAAATACAGGAATATTAAGTTTAGGTAGTATACTATTAACATATAAGTTGGCAGAATATAACCCTCTTCTACTCTTGAATACACTAAAATTTTTTCTGGGTTAAAGGTCAGAAAAATCAAGTATTGATCATTTTTAACTCACCATTGGCAAATTAGTAATTTCTTTGAGGTTATAATGGATTAAAATTTAATTTTAAACACTCTGTATCAACTTAACTAGAAGTTTTAGGTCAAATGGGGAAGAGTTACTAGATAACCTGCCTATGACATGACAAAACAGGGTGATGATAAACATTAATTGGTTTCCTACAATTTAATTTGTTTTATTCAGATAAATTCAAACTCACAATCATACTGAATGAACATAACTATTATTCTGGAGTCTAATTCCAGTAGTAATCATTTCTATCATTTATCTATTGGTATTCATAATATATTTTAGAAGTTACTACATGTGCCATGTATTTTTTCACAAATTAACAATAAAGGGTATAAAGAGTTAAATAAAACAAATACTACCTTGCTTAACAGCCATTTTACTCCACATACATAAAGAAGAACATAATTTCATTCTGATTACTGCCAACAGCAGTTTCTTTCCTTCTTTAACACCAGGATCTTGCAGATCTCTACATATTATCCTGGATACTATGTATTTTAATATAAATTTATTTATATTAAATGTTACCTGAAATGTTTATGGTGATCTCCAGACCTGATACTTGCAGCTCTATCATTAGGAAAGGCAATCAGTGCATTCTTCACTGATTCATCATTTAGGTGATGATTATGAAGGTTCGTCATGGCTGACCTTAGCATTGCTGCTACAGGTGGAAGATAATCCTTTTTCTCTGAATCTCTGATCACAAATTGTCTTGTGGGATTACTAATCAATGGAGATAAACCTTTAATAAAATTGAATATTATATCGGTATTTAGTACTTTGTATTGTACATTTCTAAAACTAAGCACATAGTTATTTAATACACTAGATAATGTATGTGATGGTTTGAGTAAGAATAGCTCTCATAGGCTCATAGATTTGGTTATTAGGTTATCTATTAGACTTATAGATAGGTTATTAGGGTGCAACACTACTTGACAGAGATTAGGAGGCATGACTTTGTTGGAGTAGGTGTAGCCTTTTTGTATTACTCAGGATGGGCTTAGGGGTTTCAAATGTTCCAGTCAGGCCCAGTAACTCTCTTCCTACTGTTTGCCAATCCACATGTAGAATTTTCAGCTCCTTCTCTAGCACCATATCTGCCTGCATGCAGCCATGCTTTCAATAATAATAATAATAATAATAATAATAATAATAATAATAATAATAATAATAGACTAAACAGCTGAAACTTTCAGCAAACCAGTTAAATGCTTGCTTTTGTGTGAGTTGCTGTGGTCATGGCAATAGACCAATAGAATACTAATGAAGACAGTTGATTTTAACAAATGCTAACTTCTCAAACCCATTGTGAAAATACAAATGATTTAATACATGTGCCTATATAAAACCAACTTAACAAAATTACATTTAAATGTTAATAAGCTGTAAATATAATAATAACCATGCTAATTTGAAAATTTATTTTCACTTGACTTATATAAAAGTGAAAGTTTGTTTTTTTTTTCCTTTTTAGGTTAAAGACAGATTAAAGACAACTGTATATCATCAAGTTTCCGTGATTCAACTAATACAATCTTATATATGACTGCATAAAACTGCAGCAGCAAGAAAAACTGGATGTAGTCAAAACTAGTTTACACCAAACTTCAGGAAAAAAAATAGAAAAAAAAATATAGCATGGCAACCATGAAAATGCTTTAGCATCTGTATAAGTTGTCTGAAAATTAAAAAAAAAATTACTGGAAATATGATAGAAATGTAACTCTTTAGTATTAGACAGAGACCTAATTAATAATACTAGAATGCTGGCCCATGATATGTATTTGAACAGGTATTCTAGGTGACTTTGATAGCTTTATAAAGGTAGAAAGCTCTGTTTTGACACTGTCTAATGCATATAATCTTATATTAACAACAATAATCACAACAGAGCTGTGTAAAACAAATACAATAACATACCAGGATTAATTTTCACTCCAACTTTTTTAGTGTAAGCTTTGCAAGTACTGTTGAATTCTAAATGTATATAATGAAAAGGTTTCATTGACAAAGACCGTAAGTTTTCATCTGCCACTGGTCCGATAATCTCAATCAGTTGCTTCACTTTAAATAAACCAATTTGATGTGGAACAAATGAACATATCACATTCTAAATAAAAAGAAAACTTAATCAATATTCTATTGTTAGGAAAAATATGTTAAAAATTAAAATATAGCTTATCTTAATCTCAGGCAACATGATTTTATCCTGGGGATTTACACACAATTTTAGGAAATATCAACAATAAGCCATACGACACTCACTACTAAAACTTTGAGAAAAATAGGGGGGGCGGAGCCAAGATGGCGACTAGCACACACAGTTTCCAAGCTGTGGAAGAGAAAAAGTTCTGAGTTGATGAGTGGAAGAACTTCTGAAGCCAGGGAAACAACGGAGAGACTTTCTAAACAACAGGGAACATCGCCGGAGGTGAAAACCTTGGTCTCGGGTCACCCAGGGACTTGTTTGGGGAAGGTGAGAAACGATCCTTTGATCTCTCGGCACTCCCCTCCCCCAGACCTCCCTCCTCCTCGGCACAGCTGACTCGCCTTTCTCAGCGCAGACCTAACTGCCTGGGGCCTGCAGCCACTGAGGCTGAGCCCCAAATCCTTTATCGGCAAAGGCCAGCAGTACTGTGTCTCAGAGCCCCAGATTCACGCGCGGCAGCTGCACCATCCTCCCAGGGCCCGAGTCTGCTAGACGCCATACTAGCTCCGCAGGATCGCTATCACTGACAGTACGGCCCGCCCAATACCACAGTGACAGAGAATACGCTATATACTCACCAAAACCAGACAGAAACGCCATACAAGCTAGACACACCAGGCGCTGGGCCTCCAAAGCTTGGAGAGCACAGTAAAGAGACCCCAGGACTTCCCAGAAAGCATCTGCACTAGCAACCCAGTCTCCAGTTACAGCGGGACTTTCTAACCTGGCGGCAGAGCAGCACTGAGCTGGCGGGGCACATCAGCCCTCCAGTTTAAGACTAACCAGGGCCAAACCAGAGAACAGAAAGGCTGGTTACCCCGATTCCCACTGACGTGACCACCCTGAAATCTCCAGCTGCAGCAAGACCTCATAACCTGGCAGTGACAGCAGCACGGAACTGGCAGAGCACATCAAAGAAGCAGGGCCAAACCAGAGAGCAGACAGCCCAGATACGCCTATCTCTGCCAAGTGTCCTGCCTGTAAGTGAGTGCACCCTTGAGAATCTGCAGCTCCACTGATCCTGGCTTCTTCTAAAACAGAAGCCAGGCATCGAACCCCCTCCCACCCATATACCCACTTTGGGAAACAGAGGGGCACTTGGAACATTGAAGTTCCTGCTCTGCGGGTCTAATTGAGGAGTTAAGGCAGTTAATGCCAGAAATTGCGCTGCGATCATCACTAGCGCCTGCGACATATACATTGCAGAGCCCCTCCCACACACTCAAGGGTTCAACATTAGCCATCACTCTGTCCCTCGAGACACACGCCCATACCCACTTACACACACACACACACATATACACACACACGCACGCACGCTTGCATTTGCCTCTGTTTGCGCCTGCGTACTTTCCTCCCACAGGTACAGCTAGTCCTCAGCATACGCTAAGGACACGGGACCTCTCTCAACTTCCTGAAGAATTCTCCAGACTCGAGAGAGAGACAGTACCAGTCTGATCGGCAGAATCCAAAAACAAACAGGGAAGGTCTCAGATAAGCCAATGGCCAGGGGTAGGCGAAAGAACACTTCCAACATAAATCAGGACATCATGACTTCACCAGCAAACCCCAAAATCGATGGATACTCCAATTCATCAGAAGCACAGGAAAATGACCTTAAAGCCATGCTTGCTCAATTATTTGAGGCTCATAAGGAGGAAATGAACAATTCTTTCAAAGAGTTGGCCAGTCAATTGGAGGTAAAGAAAGAAGAAATAGACAAAACCCTTAAAGAAACACAGGCAAACATAGCCAAACAAATAGAGGCACAAGTAGAGAAAAAATTAGTGGCATACAAAAAGGAAATGAACAAAGAAATAGAGTCCATCGTAGAGAGACAGGAATCCAAATTCAAACACATAAAAGAAATGGTGCAAGGCATGAAAACAGAATTAGAATCAATAAAGAAAACACAAAATGAGAAAACTCTTGAGCTGGAGAACTTGGAGAAAAGATCAGGAACCACAAAAGTAAGCATCACCAACAGAATACAAGAGATGGAAGAGAGAATCTCTGGAGCTGAAGACACACTTGCAGAAATTGATACTTCTCTCAAAGAAAAAGTAAAATCAGAAAAATTCCAATCACAAAATATCCAAGAAATCAAGGATGCTATGAAAAGACAAAATCTAAGAATAATAGGAATTGATGAAAAAGAAGACTCCAGGCTCCAAGGTCCAGAAAATATTTTCAAAAAAATCATAGAAGAAAATTTTCCCAACTTAAAGAAAGAGATGTCCATAAATATACAAGAGGCCTACAGAACACCAAATAGACTAGACCAGAAAAGAAACACATCACGTCACATCATAGTCAAAACACTAAATCTACAGAACAAAGAAAAGATATTAAAAGCAGCAAGGGAAAAAGGCCAAGTAACATATGAAGGTAGACCTATCAGAATCACACCAGACTTCTCATCAGAAACTATGAAAGCCAGAAGGGCCTGGGCAAGCATCATGGAGACTCTAAGAGATCACAAATGTCAACCCAGACTACTATACCCTGCAAAGCTTTCAATCAACATAGATGGAGAAAACAAAATATTCCATGACAAAACTAAATTTACGCAATATCTATACAGCAAACCAACCCTACAGAAGATACTAGAAGGAAAACTCCAATCCAACGAAAACGAATTCACCCAAGAAAACAGGGCATACAGATAATGTCCCAACAAAAATGAAAAGAAAACAAGCAATGAAACAAGGTAAGATCATCGACTCCATTACAAAAGGAACTAACATGCATTGGTCAATATTATCTATCAATATTAATGGACTCAACTCACCAATAAAAAGACACAGGCTAACAGAATGGTTACGGAAACAGGACCCAACATTCTGTTGCATCCAAGAAACACACCTATGCAACAAAGATAAACACTACCTCAGAGTAAAGGGCTGGAAAAATGTTTTTCAAGCAAATGGTTCCAGAAAACAAGCTGGAGTAGCCATCCTAATATCTAATAAAATAGACTTTCAACCCAAGTTAATCAAAAAAGATAAGGAGGGCCACTATATTCTCATCAAAGGAAAAATCCAACAAGAGGACATCACAATTTTGAATATCTATGCCCCAAATACAAGAGCACCTACATTCGTAAATGAAACAATATTAAAGCTTAAATCATACATTGATCCTAATACCTTAATAGTGGGAGACTTCAACACCCCACTCTCATCAAGGGACAGATCAACCAGACAGACACCAAATAGGGAAATGAAAGCACTCACAGAATCCCTAAATCAAATGGACCTAATAGATGTCTACAGATCTTTTCACCCAAACTCAAAAGAGTACACCTTCTTTTCAGCACCGCATGGAACCTTCTCCACAATAGACCATATAGTGGGTCACAACGCAAGCCTCAACAGATAAAAAAGGATTGAAATAATCCCTTGTATACTATCTGACCACCATGGACTAAAGCTGGACATCAACAACAACAGAAACAACAAAAAGCCGACACGCACATGGAAACTGAACAACTTACTACTCAATGACAGCTGGGTCAAGGAAGAAATAAAGAAAGAAATTAAAGACTTTCTAGAATTCAATGAAAATGAAGGCACAACATACCCAAATTTATGGGACACATTGAAAGCAGTGCTCAGAGGAAAATTTATAGCACTAAGTGCCTACAAGAAGAAATCTGTAACATCACATACAAACAACTTAATGGCCCAACTGAAAAACCTAGAAAAAAAAGAAGCAGATACACCCAAGAGGAGCAGACGGCTGGAAATAATCAAACTAAGGGCAGAAATCAATCAATTAGAAACAAATAAAATTATCCAAAGAATCAATGAAACAAAAAGCTGGTTCTTTGAGAAAATCAACAAGATAGACAAACCCTTAGCCAAACTAACTAAAAAGCAGAGAGAAACCATACAAATCAGCAAAATCAGAAAGGAAAATGGGGACATAACTACAGACACTGAGGAAATCCAAACGATTATTAGGTCATACTACAAAAGCCTATATGGCACAAAATTTGAAAATCTAAATGAAATGGATAACTTTCTTGACAGATTCCATCTACCAAAATTAAGTCAAGATCAGGTAGAAAGACTGAATAGTCCTATATCTCCCAAGGAAATTGAAGCAGTCATTAACAGTCTCCCCTCCAAAAAAAGCCCTGGACCAGATGGCTTCAGCGCAGAATTCTACAAGACCTTCAAAGAAGTACTAACACCAATTCTCCTCAAACTATTCCATAAAATAGAAACAGAAGGAACACTACCAAACTCATTCTATGAAGCCACAGTCACTTTGATACCTAAACCACACAAAGATCCAACAAAAAAAGAGAACTTCAGACCTATCTCTCTTATGAACATTGATGCAAAAATACTCAATAAAATACTTGCAAACCGAATCCAAGAACACATCAAAGATATCATCCACCATGACCAAGTAGGCTTCATCCCAGGAATGCAAGGGTGGTTCAACATACGGAAATCCATCAATGTAATCCACCACATAAACAAAATGAAGGAGAAAAACCACATGATCATCCCTTAGATGCTGAAAAAGCATTTGACAAAGTCCAGCACCCATTTATGTTTAAAGTCTTGGAGAGATCAGGGATACAAGGCACATACCTAAAGATAGTAAAGGCAATATACAGCAAGCCTATAGCCAACATCAAACTCAATGGAGAGAAACTTAAATCAATCCCACTGAAATCAGGGACAAGACAAGGCTGCCCACTCTCTCCATATCTCTTTAACATTGTACTTGAAGTCCTAGCCAGAGCAATAAGACAACTAAAGGAGATCAAGGGGATACAAATCGGAAAGGAAGAGGTCAAAGTGTCACTATTTGCAGATGATATGATAGTATACATGAGCGACCCCAAAGATTCAACCAGAGAACTTCTTCAGCTGATAAACACC